GAGCTACAAGATCAAAAGAGCAATTTTCTGGTCAATGAGACATCTAGGCCATGTCAGAGCCATGCTGGGATCACCTAACAAAGACAAGTGCTTTGGCAACTGGTCTTTGATTTACCTGCTCCCCAGAAAGACTTCTGCAGAACAGCAGGCAGGGTGACACCCATTGTCAGTCAGGGAAGGTAAAAAAGCAAACACATCTTGTCTGCATCACAGATTCAAATTTTTGCATTCAAGGACTTCTCATCTTAACATCTGCTCATGAATGTGAAAGATTGGCAGCCATTATCAGGGTCACCTGGCAATGCAGGCAGACCAGTAGGGAGCAGGGCAGTCAGAAATACGGTGCCTGGTCAGGAGCCAAGGCATCCTGGGGTAGTGATAAGGATGAGACATGGAGTCCCAGCAGAGAAGCATCCTGTTGGGGGTCAGATGCCTCCATACTGAAGGCCTGCCTTTAGAGAGCAGTCTCAAAGGCCACACAGAGAAGGGCATGTCATTCGCTCCTTGCTGGAGCACAGAGGCACCCCACTGCACCTGCGGACACGTGATGTTGGCCTTATGGTGGAACCTGGACCAGAGTTTCAGTTTCATGTTATATTCCATTCTGCCTGGCTTATGGTGGTGTCTGTCACACAGATGCTTAAAGAGGTGAGCCAAGTTGTTGAAGGACCCCTCTCCTCTGATGTGCAATGTCCTACTACTATAAAGGACTAAGCGACTCCTCATGCAATGGTGTTTCACAGCCAGTCAAAACTAAACGGAACTTAGCCAGATCACCTCTAACTTGGGATAAGGAAAGCCCACTAGATCATGACTCAATTTGAGAAGATGCTTCTAAAACATTGTGAAGGCTTCTAAGGGCCTTAAAGTTTAGAACTTGTGTAGCAAACCTATGTCTTTGTTCTTACACCTTCATCAACAGCCATTCTAAAAAGCATTAAGGAATTCTGGTTCTTAAGAATTTTCTGGGGCCTCCCTGGTGTCCTAGGGGTTAAGTCTCAGCCCCATCACCACTATGGCCTGAGTTCGATTCCTGGCCAGGGAACTAATCCACATATGACACAGCAGACCTTTCCTGTCTCACCTGCTGCTCCCCTCGGCAGTGTATTCAGTAAATCCACCCATTCTGCTCTCCACTTTATCTCTGATGAACCCTCTCAAACACTCCCTCCTGTACCTCTGGCCTACACCCCCGTTCTACACAAAAATAAAATAAAAATTCTAGTATTATTTGTTCACGTATCACTCATGTGGTAAAATCACTGATAGACAAGAAAACAATTCAGCAGAGCTAAGTTGTTTAATATTCAAAGACAAAGACAATTTATTGCTGAGACGGGACAGACTTTTCCAGCATCTGCCTTTGAAAACAAATTAAAGGAAATGACTATTTCAATGTTTCGCCATGAGTTTAAATTCTAGTGTCCTTATGAAAAATAAAACAAGACTTCCAAGAAATTTCCATGCTTTGAGAAACTTTTCTGCCATGTATTTCATGGGTTGGTGCTGAATCTGTGCCAAAATTTCATCACTACTTAGGGCTATAATGTCCAGAGAGTCACTGATCTGGCAATTTTACTGGCAATTTTTGGGTGGGATGTGGTCAATGGCAATGGCTCCAGTGGCACCAAGTCCAGAGACTTACGAAAAAACACCCACGGGGGCCAGGCATACCCTCTCACTGCTGGGGAAGCTTCTTAAATGAGGCTTATCCCACAAAGTCAGAAATATACAGTAACAGTGGCACAAAGAATGGGGTGTTTAGTTTGAGAATAAGCACTCCTCTACCAACATTGCTCCCCCCTAGGCCCCCCACCCCCCGACCTTCACTTGTGTTGGCTCCATCTGACCATGTGGGTCTCCACTCAATGCCCCCTCCTCTGGCAGGCTTTCCTGGACAGCCACCCCAGAGTGGCATGTTTCCTGGCAACCACTCCCAGCATGTCTCCCTTGCCTTTTAAAATTTAATTTTTCTTCTTTGCACTTGTCTTCATTCATCAACTTTTACATGTTTGTTTTTGCCCTTCTCCATAGCCACCCCAACACAGTAAAGCAGGCTCTGGTCTCTCTTGTTCATGACTGTATTTCCAGCCTCTAGGACACACCTGGCATACAGTAGGTGCTCAATAAATGTGTTGAACGTTTAATTATCAAGAAAGCTGTTAACAACAGCCTTTCCCTTAGAAGGGAGCTATCAGAATGAATCATATGGTACCAGGAGTGCAAAGGTTTGACCTAGCACTAAAGAGAAACATGCTAGTTTTTTAGCAAATCCTTCTCATCATATCACCCAGCTGTAAGACAATGGCCTACCATTTCAGCCATGGGGAGCTCCATGGTACATAAATATCACTGTAGCAGCAAAAAAAAAAAAAAAAAAAAAAAGCAATCTTGGTAACCGCTCTGACTAAAAAGCTTAGGAAAATGTATACTATTCTCCAAAGGGTGGAGGAGGGGGAGGATGACTTGAGTATTTAAACCATAAATCATTCAAGCAAAAAACCACAGATGTGCCCATTTCATGCTAGTGAAAACAAAATAATTGTTTCCACATTCTTCATTCTTCCTGTCACACCTGCTCTGGCCTGCCCAGAAACACCTTAGCCAAAAAGTGCAAATGGTTTAAGCATAGCTTTTTTAAGCAATGAGAACGGGTAAGTGTCATCTTCTATAATCAGTAAGAAGTGTTTCTGGCTAATCTAGGAAATTCAATAGTAATAGTAAGTGGATAAGTTTAGAAAACCTTTGTACCTTTTAAGCATTTCCAGGAAATATGAAGACAAAGCACTAAGGTGAACAGCAAAGTAATAGATTATGATTATTCTTCCATTCATTGGTCTATTTATTAGAATGACAATGGTACAACATATTTCCCAATTGTCTTATTAGTTTTCAAGCTCTTGGACTGTGTTTAAAATATTTTCAGGGTAGAGACCCAAGTACAACATAAGTCAATAATGTCACAAAAAAAATCATCAGGTATGAAAATTTATACGATGACATAACCATGCTCAAGTTAAGAACAAAGGGGCTGAAATGGTATAGAGACAAAATACACTGTTGAATCTATCAGGCATTCATTTTTTATGGTAAAACAATTCCATTGCATGTATCCATCTTATCTTGTAATTAAGATTCAAATGGATTCAAAATGATTAATTTGTACTGGCCTATCAAAATAGAAGACATTGTAGTTGTAATCTTTCTGAATAGCAATAGTGTTTTAATTATAAATGCCTGGCTCATTATTTGTTCAAGAATGAATGACAATCAGTTTGATCCTACTGCAACTGTTAATGCTACTGGTACTAAAATAAATAGGCAAGACTGAATTAGGTTTCTGACATTTCCCTTCAGCTTACGATCTTTTGATTGATGCTATATTCAAAATGTACTTAGTCATTTTAAGTCACAGGCAGGAAGGAAAATGGCTTCCGAACAGCCTAAAAAAAAAAAAAGGTGTTGCAGGAAGGAAGGCTATTTCATGGCAAGCCCAAAGAACAAAATCATTATGAGATGGGTCATGTTCTGACATAACTGAACCAGATAAAGACTCCAAGAAAAATATTTAAATTGGCCTCAAAACAACACAACAACAACAACAAACCTCTAGCCCATTACAATGAGTGCTTTGGAATATTTGAAACTGCTAGAATAAAGCAACTATTTACACAGATGGTTCTAAATCTCAATGTTCTGCACATCGGACCAAACCTCAGGGAGGTTTCAGGTTTGGCAGTATCTTCTGGCACACCTATGCAGTTCTACCCACAGAGGATCAGTGGGCACCTATCAGTGGTTGGGGAGTGGGCTTGGGCCCTTCTTGACAAGAGCTCTGAGGTACCAACAGAGGGATCGGGAAAACAAGAGCATAAGCATTTCCTGATTTTCAGTATTTCTGAAACACCTTTTGTTTCAGTGGCGCTGGTGAACTCGTGATAATGAAACTACACCTTTGTACACAAACCTTGACCAGCATTCTGGAGCATATGACAAAGAAAACCTTAATTTTGAAACTACTGAGCACAAAGGAAGAGACAAGCCCTCACTGCACAAGCTTTTTCTATATGGGTGGCAACATGGCTTAATTTTTAAGGTTTGATGACCGCATTAAAAATGTTTAAAGCCAGTTCAGACTCTAAGTATGAGGGGAAAAAATGCAAAAAATTCATTACACATTTGTTTCTCTTTTAAAGACAATCTTTTGCCTATCTGTGCCATTTTTAAATAAGATGTGGTTGCCAAGGAAACAGGTTCTGGTCCGGTCTTAATTTGAAACTAAAATATATTTGAGAAGTTAAGCTCAAAAGGCTCATGAAATTATTTTGAAAAGTGCCAGCATTTGGTACTTATAGAACCACAGCTGTATGGTCTGCAATGAACCATTCCAGGGACACTGTTTCATTCAGTGAAGCTCTTTTTCTTCTAACAAGGCCATCTATATTCAATATTCCTCCCTTTACAAATAGTAAGTCCCCATCCCCCCCCAATAATAGATATACAAATTGTGTACTTATTCTTGTATATTATCTAAAATTGATTTTGGAAGCATGTAAGTTTTTATTTTCATCTTTCATATAACACGTTTAAAGACCGCTTCTTAAAATTTAAATATTTTCAATGTTTCTTATTAGGCTTGTTTGCGCCCTTTAAAATTACCTCCAGAAACCAATTTATTTTTAGTTTCAAGCTAAAATGGAACTGAATCAACAGACTTTTCAAAAAATTCTTTTGTTGCCTAATGGCGCCACACCTATCATATATATATAATTTTTAAAAAAAGGAATCATCTTACTTTTATAGCAGAAACATGTAAGTTCATAAAAGCTATATACTTATATAGTAACTGAATGGGAAAAGCTATCCTATTTAATACCCTCCCTCCAAGAAATTACAACTGTCTTATTTAATTTCTGTTTTAAAAGCCATAGTTTAATCCATCTAATGTTGTGCTGGCTGGCTCAAAAAAAAATCTATAAAACATGCAGATTTCAACCTACCTGTATGTATCACTTAATGCAGTGTTAGCATGACAAGACACTCAGCCATTTTTATGTAAAGCGATGGAGACCAACTGATTTCTCCGTCTTCTTGCTCACAAGTTTTAGATGCAATTGTCACACACAAAAAAAATCATACGTAGAACAGCTTGAATGTACTGCGATCACGAGAACTGAATTTATCAACAGGAAAACAGGATTGGAAAAAAAGAAGTTTCTCATCCAAGGTTTCTCTGAGGCTGCAACCAAGGAGGTGGTGTGTTGAATTTTTTTTTCCCTTCCTCCTCTGAGAGTTCAAAGCCCGGAGCTGACCACTGCAAAGGCCACTGTCACATTTGCTGAAAATCAAACCACGATACCAGCACTGAAAACACAAATTTGAGAAACAAGTTGTTTGCACACCATGGAGTGCTTAAGAGTTAAAAATAGATTCCACCTTGCCTCCTACCTGCATAATAAATATGTAAGTTTCAAGTGTTTAATTTGATATTCACATTAATTAACAATACAACATACATTATTTAAAAGACAGCAAATGCAAGAAGAAAGGGGAGACACCATCTGGTAGCAGAGTTTTGTTGTTGTTTGGTTTTTAGTGGCTTTTTTTCTGGCTTTGTTAAAAAAAATGGTAAAATCCTATTTTGAATGTGATGAAAAGCAAACATCCAAAAGCAAATGAATCGGAACTGAAAGGTGAGGTTGAAATATCTAAGGCTGTAATGAGGCAAAAACAAGTCTTCGCTACCAGATGATATGGCATACAGAGCATTTACATACTCACATCTGAAATACTAGGCAACGTGTAATGAATTCTATACACAGCATGCACAAACAGCACAAGCACGGCTAATCCTGCCATCTTAGGCTCGCAGAAGCAAGATACACTGCATGCAGCACACGAGCACTGGGAAGGAGGAGGCAAGGGACAGCTCACCTTAAATGCAGTATCTGATTAATGTTGTAAGTGACATTGCATATCAGCCTCAGAGTCTTGGTTCAACTGGGTAGGAGGGAACAAAGAAAAATGTCATCAACTGGTGATGCAAGATGAGCCCAATCACTAAACACTGCTTAGCAAACTCCAAATTCTGCAACCAGACAGTAGAAGGCATTTCAAACACTTAAGCAGAGCTGCTGCACAATGCAAGTCTCCTTCTGCTTCTGAGAATAAAACAATCCTTTTGCTAAGGAAGAAAATAAGCTGGAATGAATACTGTCATATCTTCTTCCTGAAGAAAGCTTTCAATACAGTATGTATCTGGTTGGGGATGCATTTCCTAGACTGTTAATTTCATAGAATTGCTAACAACAGCAGCAACAAAAAATCAAAAACTGTTAAGCTATTGCAAAGTAAAATAATTTTAAAAGAATGGAGCATTTCTAGATTATTTTTTAAGATCCTAAGTGCTACCGGCAGGCTTGTAGGAGAATGCATGATCAGCTGCCGGTATCAGTGCTATAACCTCTAACCACAAGCGTGTAAATGTATCCTGCTAAATCTATCTGCAGTGCAGAACGGCAGATACCTCCTCAGTTGGAATTGTATTAAAATGTGAATGAATTTGTTTCAACTTAGAAAAATAAACTCAGCACAGAAAAATAAATGGATGCTGAATTTCTTGGAATGTATAGCTGCCCATTAAGAAAGGTTAAAAAAAAAAAAAGCTGTCCTTAGGATACTGACCTAAATAATATTAATACGTGCAGCAGCAGACTGTACTTGCTCAGAACATAGGAAATGCAAAATGATTTTTCTCCTCCCTTCCCACCCAAAAGCTAAATGGTAGAATAACAAACCATGAACAAGAATACCAATTTATATATATATATATATATATATATATATATGTATGTATATATATATTTTACATACTGTCAAAGAAACGGCGCTGTGCAGAGATGCGGGGTTTCTTTGTTTTACTTTGAAGCTATCTTAGCTACGCTTGCACGATGACATTGACATCATGGAGGTCAGGGCTGACACTGGAGTGCTATTCGTTTTATGAGTGAAATGTTTTCCGAAAATTAAATCTCATCTACTCAAACACCGAATTTCATGTCTTCCTCAATACCACCTCCCTAGCCCTGCTGTTCAAGATTGATGGGATCTAGTTTGGCTGTATGTAATAAATCCGAATCGCCTTCTATAGAGATCCCAATTCATAACTGCAGGAATTCATTTTTTAAAACAAAAACCTCCAAGAATTCTTATGCACACCCTTTCAGTCCTTCCCATCAACACATACACACACCCACATGAACACGCGAACACTCACATGTACACACGCGCGCACACTCACAATTGAAGCTCAAATTGCAATGATATGTTTAACATGTGGAACAAAAAATGTGAAAGAACTGCTTATTCAGGCTTTTGAAGAAATGCCTAATAAGCAAATACTGTTTTGCTACAAAACCAGTATTACCAGGTCCCCAAAGAGAGGAAAACAGCATAGCTTGCTAAAAAAATTTCTTCCAGATCCTGCCGGCAGGTAAGAAACAGAAAATCATTTCATTTTCCATGCTGTATAAAATAAGAAGTCTTTTATTTTTAAGGAAATAGAGCAGATTATTTTCTGCTCTTTCTTCAGCTACAAAGAAATCATACCCACCCTCACACTGTGTCCTGGAAATAAGCCAAAAAAATTTATAAAATGCCATAAGACTGATTTTGAATATGCAGTATTTATCATTTTTGTTCTTATCGCTCCAAAAATCTTTAATTGTCTATTGCACACTGAACATGATCACGCTAATTCATTTTAACATGTTTAACACATTATTCATTAAAAACGAATAGTATTTTCCAGGGTTATTGTTTTCAGTGCCTCTATCTTCTATAAACCTTGCCTACAAAGAATAGATTAGCAAAACATTTAAGTTTCCCTGGGTTTTTGTAAAGGAGAAAATAGATTCAGATACGTTGGGTACTAGGTTGTACACTGAATCTTTCTGTTTCTAGCTCTCACTCTATCTCCACCCTCAGAACCCAAGCGATTTTTGGCCCAATGTATGGAAAGTTCATTGCCCTCTTCTAGCTCACACACTTTAGCCTTAGGATTAGACTGTCCAGACGGTCTGTCAACCTGACCCACAGCAAGTCCTCCTCTCTTTGAGGGCACCTCTCCTCCACAGCTACTACAGAAGTCAACATGACTCCTGATCTAACACCAATGGCGGCGCCATCTTCCCCACCCCACAACATTTCTCTATGAGGTTTGGTTACTATTGACAGCAACAGAGAATTAGAATGGAGTGCCTTAGGCTAATCCCTCCCTTACCATTGGGGTAGAGATTATCACACTGACTTACAAGGTATCAATTTAATATACAAAAATCTATAAAGCAGTCCTTCAAGCAGTCGGAGGAGGGTGAAGCAAACACATAGGTATGTGATGCTGTTAGTGTCTGTTCAGATCATCCTCATTAATAACATTGAAAAGCTAGACAGTCATGCGAAAAGACTCACAAAATATCATCTTGTAGACTAAAATAACCACATACGGAATCAACTATTACCACCTAGGACTAAGTCACCCCTTCCTCTGTCTAGGGTAATAAATGAGAGTGACAAGGACAGAAATCCACAGCAGGCTTTCAAGAGAAGAGTGACTAGTGATGGTCTCTTTAGGGGGGCAGGTGGCAAATATGGTCAGGTCCCTGACCGGTAGTGGTAAAGCAGAATGCCATGGCAAGTGGGTTCCAAATCTTCCTGTGGGGTTCTTGGATCTTTGTCCAGAGAAGCCTAAAAGCCTCATACTGGTTTATTTTGTGATGTTCCGACACATTCAGTGAGGTTCATCAACTAAACCTGCTTGTATTAAATTTGAACTACAGTTGAAAAGATTTAGATGGGTGAGCTTGTTTAGGCAGACAGCCTCAACTAGTTAATCCTGTTTTGCACTTTTAACAAACCATGTTCCCGTCTGAATTACTTAAGCTTTATCATCATTACAAGTGGCAAAGGGTATATACATTCACTTATGATTTTTAAAAATTACGTGCTCCTCATCAGCCTCCTTAAGGGCATATGGACAAACTTTCACTTACAAGATAAATCCCTTGTAACCTGTTTCTGCCACTTGGATGAGTCAAGCACAAATAACTCTAAATAATGTGGGGGGAGCAAACTGGAAAGGACAGAGCTAGCAGCGAGGGGTGCGTCTTTCAGTTTGATTAACACTCTTGCTCACGGGCTCTGTGCTCTGTAGTCTAAGCTCATTTTATTTTCAGTCTTGTGGGTTAAAGTTAAATTGCATGGCTTATGCAAAGTATATAATTCAAGCATGAACAAAGCTTGACTCTCGGTTTAAAACAAAACAAAACAGAAAGTCAGAGCACTGAGTCCCAGAGGAATTCTTGGTTTATAAACATTTGGATTGCTTTGCACATTTCTTTACTCCATTCACTGCATAAAAAAATACAGCTATTTCCCCTGCACACCTAATAAATATTTCAACATCTGTAAGTAAATTTTCTTTATCAGGATAAGGTATCCTAATCTGATTTTTAAATTATAAATTTGTCTACCAAATATAATACTCTTGGTTAAATTCTTAGAATTTAGAAAACTAAAATTATTTTTCTGAAATTGGTTATTACAATTATGAACAGAATATTCAGCTCTAGAAAAAAACACCGTGACAACTTATTAATGCTAAAAATGTTTTTGGATGATTTTTTCCTAGTTTTTGTGGGAAAGTCCATTGTTACTCTGAAAATCTACATTTTGCTTAGAGGTCTGGGCAGGAACTTCCATCTACTTGGATCAGAGCTGAAAGTCAAAAACAGCTACCATTTATTGAGAACCTATGTTTTTAACCCAATAATCCTGCAAGGTGGATATTAACTGTCATCAATTTTAGGTGATGAACTATTTGAGAGTCCTACTTGCAATAAATATCAGAGATAGGGTTCAAACCTAAGACCAACTGATTCCAAAGCCTGTGTCTTTCCACTAGTCCCACAAGGATAAAACTTTCTCCTTCATTTACATTCCACCCTGATATAGGAATCTTCTTTATGTAGATACTCCTGGTAGACGAGACCTCCATGCCTGAAGTCATAGTTACCCTGTTTATACAAACCAGCCACAACTCTTCAACCCCAGGGAATTATGGGAATCCAGGAGGCCCCCAACTGGAAAGAGACTGGAGCAGGTAGAAAAGGCAATAGAAGAGGTACGCTTAAGTGCAGGGTAGAAAGCACAGTAACAAATTTGGTCAGAGATTTCTCTGTCCACTCATGAAGCAAAATAGGTGGGAAATTTTACGTTTCCATCTGAGGAGCCTTCATCTAATGAAGTCCAAGCTTTTCTGTCACAGTCAAGGAAACTGAGGCTAAGAGATCTGGTCAATTGCCCAAGATCACTCATTAATTTGTGAGTTGACCTATTTGCTGTCTAAAAAAGTAGAGCTCATTTCCTTTTATACCTAACAAGTCCAGCATTGGTGAGTGAATTTGTGTTAGGTTGTTACATTGTTTTTTTAAAAAGTGACAACTGGGCCCTCCCTGGTGGCGCAGTGGGTTAAAGCACAGCACTAAAAAGCTAAAAGTCACTTCAGCCTGAGTTCAATCCCCACCCTGGAGGTGACCCACATGGTGGGGCAGATCTCTCCTGACCTGCCCACTGCTCCCCTCAGCAGTGTACTTGGTCAGTTGGCCTGTTCTGCTCCACACTCTGTCTCTGGTGAATCCTTTCACTGCCCCTGCACCTCTGGCCTGTACCACAGTTCTGTATGCATAAATAAATCTTAAAAAAAAAAGTGAAAATCAAGAATGATCTGGTTTCCTCTCATAATGGCATTTTTGTCCTGAACAGATAACCTAAGTCAGTATTATAAGTTCCTTCCCAAAGATGATTTTTTAAAGGGATTTGAAAAAGTCTAACATTTGAATAAAAGGTTTTCTTTAACCGATCTTATTGTTTTTAAATACAGCATTTCAACGAGCGGCTCTATAGGCTAACAGCTGTACATTTTATTCCAAAGAGCTCAGAAA